GCTCTCAGCAATATCGCGCCCTTACCGTGCCCGAGTTGACCCAGCAAATGTTCGATGCCAAGAACATGATGTGCGCGTCTGATCCTCGACATGGTAGATATCTGACCGCTACCGCTCTCTTCCGTGGCCGAATGTCGACCAAGGAAGTCGATGAGCAAATGCTCAATGTCCAGAATAAGAACTCGAGTTACTTTGTCGAGTGGATCCCCAATAACATCAAGAGCGGTGTCTGCGATATCCCCCCCAAGGGCCTCAAGATGGCCGTGACCTTCTTGGGTAACTCCACTGCCATCCAAGAGATGTTCAAGCGGGTGGCTGAACAATTCACTGCAATGTTCCGAAGGAAGGCTTTCCTCCATTGGTATACTGGTGAGGGTATGGATGAGATGGAGTTCACTGAGGCTGAGTCCAACATGAACGACTTGGTTTCCGAGTACCAACAGTACCAAGATGCCACTGCTGAGGAAGAAGGTGAATTCGACGAAGAGGAAGGCGAGTATGATATGGAACCCATGTAATTACCTTCCGTGCTCTCCATCATTCTGATCCTCTGGTTGCACCATTGTAGACGTAAGTGCTGGAGCCCCGACTTGTTCTTGGGCTTCCAGGGTCTACAGGTTGGCTGTGTCAGTTATAAGTCGGTATTAGTATGAGGTTTATCGATCTCTTTGCTTCTCCGCGGTAACTTCTGTCACCTCTGTTGGTGCGCCAGCTGTGTAACGATTGATGAGAAAGTTCATGCTTGTCGGGTTTTGAGTTTTGTAGTATGTAAGGAATGAATAGGTGAGGTATTCGCGTCTCGATAGGAAACGGAATTCGACACTCTGGGACGTACGACACTTTTCGTCATTAATGCGTGTAACTTTATATAGTGCATCATTGTCTGCATAGTTCACTACCTAGCGAGATGAGAATAATGACTCCATACAGCTATACCACGATGCAATTACCCAACGTTTATCTACCGACAGGGAGTCACGGCATAACACTTACCCCCTCTGCGACTCGCGTAAATTGACGCTAGTCTGAACGGGAGTGTTTACCATGAACTTAGACCATCGAATTACGATGCATCCGGAGAGAATCGCTACTCACTCGCATCGACAGCCATTCTGAGTAGAACTGTCATGCGATCGGCAGCAGTCCGCAAGAAGCAGGAAATGCGCATCACTCTATGTCTATTTGTTTGCTCATCGGTCTCAGCAATCCTCGACTCGACTCAACACACTAGTTCTATATACAACACCGCACTTCACAGAACAAATTTGAACAATGTATAATATCCTTCCTAGAGCTCATCATTGGTTATCGGTATTTTCCTCGATACCTCGGAGCTTCTGAATGTATACTCTCTCGCATCGAGTTCATCAGCCTCATACTCATCCAGTAGCGTCTTCACTTCCACAGGTATCGTCACAACTCGGCCACTTTCCAACTCGATGCGGCTCCCATTAAACCTAGCCATTCGACCGAGTGAGGTCGGGACGATGACAGTGAGAGTATCATCATCACCAAAGCGGACCTTAACACCATCTCTCTGTGCTTCCTCATCGAGCTGCCTTTTGATCTCCTCCGAATGCGCCCCAGGGTTGCTTACTGTGCCGCCATCAGTAGCAGACATGTCCGAGTTCCGGGGGACGGTCACTCGGAGCTTGCCACTCTTCTGATCATAGACAACCTTCGTCTTTTCCAGCAAGCAGTCATCCGACATCGGATAATATCTTTGGATCTCCGTCACCAACGGGCCGTCAGTCTTCCTCACTTGTAGTGCGATACCCCTACCAATTTGCTTCACGGTGATACCGTTGTCCTCTTCTCCGAGTTCACTCCGTAGAGTCTGCTTCGGGATTTGACCAGCAATAACAACCTCGCTGGCCGTCGTATTCATGCTAAAGGTGGACTCCCCTTCTATCCCCCCCAACGAACCGGTCATCATCTGACTCAACATTTGCCCGAGTAGTTCGTTGAGAACGTTGCCCACAGGGACCATCCCATGTCGGAGTCGCTTCGGCTGCTGCGCTCGAGCAATCGCCGCCTTGTCTCCGCCAGCCAACTCATGGACATCATCGATTGCATCGTAAAGTTCGTTCATCGGGATGAGTGAGAACCCACCCATCGGAAGAATCATACCAGTATCCATCCCTCGGCCGAAATCGGCGTTGAATGGAGCACCAATGAGCTCTGAGGCCTCATCCGCTGATAGTTCATCACCGTAATTTCGGGAAACCGCACCACGACCATCCTCATGCTTCTCAGCGCATACCAACTCCTCTATTATAAAAAACAATACGATGCGCCTATATCCTCTCATTTAGAATTCAGTGAAACATAACCTACAAAACGCCCCCAGTGAGGTCTGCCGCCGAGTGGCTCCACACGACACCAGTTTTAGCTGGAAACTCTACGGATAATTTCTACCGTCAGCGTCGGCCACACAGAAGTCAGTGAATGTTGCACATTATTATTCGCTAATATAGTAGAGCCTTCTTCTACGTTTCATTAGCATTATTCTACTATTGTCCACCATAATGATAATCACCGAGAGCGCGTGCTCAACCAACTTATCCAAACCACAGGCAGAGTCAGCGTGAAGAGGAATACCATCAGATTTTGCCTCACCTGATGCAGAACAACCACTGCAACACAAGTAGCTACACCGACACATCTCAACGAGTCAGCGAACAGTGCCACAGCCTCCCAGCAGAAACCACCCACCTCAGCGGCCTCTTTCCCCAACTCCTTTTCATACCAGCTATCGAACACCGCCTGTCGCATCGATATTGGCATCTTCACACTTGCCTGAATGGCTAGCTCCAACTAGAACAACAGCCCGAAGATCGCCCACCTTGGTGTCGAAACACTCGTCCAAGTTTGACTTCACCCGCGCAGCGTGAGCGCTCGGCCACAACATGAACAGACACATCCACCCTTGGGGACAGGACTCTTTAATGTATCTAACAGCACCACCATGATGAACAACTTACGAACGAAAAGTTCTATCTACTTCTGGTTCATTTCCAAAGCACATGCCGTGGCATCATCCGAATGAACCTTCCACAGCTCGATGTTCTTCTTCCGCAACCTGTCCCACTCAGCCCCCATGTTGCGGTCCAACTGCGAACGGAAGTCCTTATATGCGGCAGAGTCGGCGACCCTACAAACGAATACAAACAACTCCGTGCAGAGACGCCAGCCTATGAAATACGTTTCCTCATCACTGTCGAATCTGTCCAACACATCCTGAGTGATAGCCGTGTGCTCCCTTCTAAGAACAGCTTCATCAGCCGGCAACGCAGTCATCTCGAGCTTCCTCTTCTCAGCTCTGTATTCTCCCATCAGAATCTCTACCTAGGAACAACAAATAGGACGGCGATGCGATACAGTAGCAAATGAACTCGGAATAATATGACGGCAGAAGGCCCACATTAACTCTCTACTACGCCCGAGCCAGGATATCACTGCTTCAACCATCCCAGTCTGGAATTTCCAGACAATTCAAGCTCAGCATGCATTGTAACAGCAATCATCATCGATTCGATAGGCATCCATATGAAAGATCAGACGGTCCATAGAAGCCCAAGCCATTACGGTGAACCATCCCGCTAAACTACCTCTTGCCTCA